AATAGTATAATGATTGATCACAACATCCCACATCTCACATTAAAGAAAAACAACATTATTGTTTATAGTTGTATAGATAGGTACATGAACATACATGTATGCATATCTTAGTTAGAATCTACTGCTAATTGCTGTTGTTGTTCCTGTGGGTGTTGTCTAACTACAATGATTCTTTCTTTAGGACGAGGTAGAGGTAGTTCTTTAACTTTAGTTGACATTTCCTCCATCATTCCTGGTATCTGTGTGAAATAATTCCTTGCTAATATGTGCCTCTGTCTTATCTTTTCTGTAAACTGTGAACTGTAAGCCTGTGGAGAAATAATGCAATAAAATTAGGTTTTGTGTCAAACAAAACAAAGAATAAAACAATAAAAAGAAAAATATTGTTAATTTTTACCTTTTCAGGGTCATCCAGTTTAACATGAGCCCTAGCTTCATCAGTTGTCAATAATACACAGTTCCATGGGCTCCAGTGTTCAGTGATATTCCAACGAACTAGTATCAACTCAAATAGATCCTTCTCACCACTCACAGCACTCTGACCAGCCCATATGTTCTCTATCAAATAACGTAGATCACTCTCCTATGAAGAAATAATTATGTGTAAGGCACATGTACATGCAAAGCATGAAAATTGCAAAACTGCTTCTACAAAGATATGCTAGCTGACATGAAAATGAGAAAACAGTTGGATATACAATGTTCATGTAGGTTTTACTAAAAATAATTTATTTAACTAATGTGTTATGCATTATCTTTGTACCCCTCATTACTATCCATTACTTTTATAATAAAGATAATGTGGGAGTCATCTTGATAGTTTTCTTCTGTTTTACGTATTGTCTTAAGAATAGCACAATATAATGTATAGTCCTCTCTAGGTGTCCCTCACTAACAAATCAGCTTCTCTATCAACCAGTTCAACTATCTCTCTTGTTAGCTTACAATCATGCTCCTGGAGAAAAGAAGGGAAGCAAAGGGGAAGGGTCAAAAAGTGCTTCTTACATCTTATAAAATTTTTTCAGTTACACATACTTTCCCTTCTCCCTCCTTACCCTAACAGTGGCTTTCAATGTTAACAGGATATCAAGTCTCTCATCTTTGGCTAGTGTCTTCATAGTAATGGTTTCATAAAGATCCTTCAAATGTGTTGCTCTCAGTGTGTATGGTGTATCCATTGTTGCTATTAGCCTGTCCACCTACAATTGAAGGTAAACACAATCAAACAGTGTATGCATATGGACACTGCTGTTGTACTGATGTCCATTAAGTCAGACAAATGTAGCGTAAAAATACTGAAAACAATAAAGAATATACAAGTGTATGTGTGTGTGTTTACAGCTTCAAGGAACTGCTTGACTTGCTTGTCCAATGAACCAGCAGTACAGTAGACTTTACTAAGAGCATCATAGGCTTACATCACAC